GTTGAAGAATGAAATATTTTCCAAATCAAATTAAGCTACACAATGAAAATTGAGGAGAAAGTCCTTAAGGTGACTTTTAAATGAAAATGAAATGTCTGTTAGTAAATTGCAGAGGTGTGGTGATACCGATTGGCAGGATTGTGTCTCATTAATTTCAAACATAGATTTTTATGTGCGGCTATTTGATTATAATTTGATTATCTGACCCTGTAATTAAAGTTTATTGCCAATTTCAAAGCTTACATGTAAAATGAACTGGTTTTTCTTCAAAGCAATATACAATCCATTGGACTCATTGACTTCTGGTTTTGCATTTAAATGGAAAAGTCTGTTATAACGTGACAAACAGGTTCAGGTTTTGATCATTAATCCTGCTAAGCAATATTCATAAATTCAATTCTGAATCAGTTGGAATACTTTTCTTTTATTAGTTTCTGTGTTATTAAATGAGATTGTTTCTGACTAATATATTTCTGGACTCGAACTGTAGCTCCAAGCTGTTATTCAAATCAAATAACATGCCCCTTACTTGTGCCTAGCACTAATAAATGCCAACTTGTGATACATTTGCAGGAGACTGTCACGAATATTAAAGGAGGCAATAATACCACTAATGTCTCCTAAGTAAGCTGATTTTTTTTCTAAGGGCTGAGATCAGTCATTCTTTTAAAAAAAAATAACAATAATCACAAACACACAAAATCCCAACCCTCTTAGTTTTGCTGCTAAAATCACTCTTTTATTCAACTAAACATTATTACTTAGGAGGTGAATGACCAAGAAATCATGATAGAAAAGAGCAATAAATAGCTTACAATTATTGGCGCACCAAGTTAGACGGGACCTCCAGGGCTTTCACCCATATCTGAAAAGAAATCTCTGACCAAGGGTCTAACAATTGTTAGAAAAGTCTTCCTATCAAGTCAAAATCTACCTCTGCACCTTCCCGCCATTGGTTCTAGGGCAAGCAGGACAAATCCATTTCTTCTTCCGCGTATAAGCCTTTTAAATATCTGAAGGCAATAAACATGCCCCCCACACACACATCTGTAGTCCTTTCCCCAAGTTAAATGCTCCTATTTCCTTCAACTGAGCTGCATATAACATGGCTTCCAGCCCACAGTTCTGATCTTAGAGAAACTGCAAATCTTACCCTGAGCAAGAGAAACTTAGGAAAGATTACTGGCTCTGGAGTAAAAGGACTCAGGTTCCAATCCTACCTTCGTCCTTTATGCCTGTGTGACCTTGGTCAGATCACTTCCCTGGGCCTTAGTTTACACCTATGAAATGAGAGAATTGGACTGGACAGCTTCTGAGGTCCCTTTAAATCTGCGGTTTAAATCTATGTGCTATGGCAAATAATACAAGGCCTAAGCTAGCAATGTACTTAGAGGAGAAGGAGACAGGGTCAGGAAGACAGTGTCAAGTCTTGCCTCTGACACAGACCAGCTAGGTGACTCCAGGCAACTCATTTTATGTCTCAGCACTGGAAGCAACTCTCTAAGACTGTAAATTGCAGAGAAGGTGATGACCTCAACGGGAAGAGTTTCCTATCCCAATGAAAGGTCCAGTCTCTCTTCCCTATCCTTATTTGGGTATCCACTGAGCCACCTGCGAGAGAAGCTCCAGGGAGACTATCCTGAGAGGGCCCCTGGGGTTCCTTGGCCATCTCAGCTTCTGGTCTCTTCCCTGCTTCTTTTCATCATTCCCCCAACTGGAGTTATTCTAAAACTGTTCCTGATGACAGCTTGAGCTATCCTTCTAAAGTTCTGGTTAGAAGTGGAGCTACTGTGTGTGCTGGCCTCCCCTTGTGTGGCCGTCAGCTATGGTGGAGTCCAAAGCTTTAGGACAGGGAGGACTCGGGAATATCCCTAATAAGAGAGTGTGCAGAGCGGGGATGGAAGGAGAAGGAGAAGGGGAAATAAGCATTACTAACAGAGAGGGAGACAGAGTTCCCAGGAATAGCTGAAGCCATCTGCCATCTAAAAGAAAAAGACCATTTCAAACCTAGGACCTCTGACTCCAGGCCTAGCCTTCTGCCATCATGCTGAATCACTTAATCCTCCCTTCTTCCCTGTATTACAAACAAGGATTTGGAGCACCCATAGCTACGATTGGTGAGAGCCTGTGGCAAAGCTGATCTAAATTGAGGTTACAGGGGGGTCCCTTAAGCCCTGACTTAAACCTAATCACACACAAATACACACACACACACACACACACACACACACACAATCTTTCCTGGCACAAAGGTTAAACACTTCCTCCATAATTACTAAGGTCAAATCCTTATTGTACTCATATTTCAGTTTGTCCTCCCCAACTGCATGGCAATTCATGAAAATCATCTTAGGGTAAGAAGGGACTTTAGAGTTTATCTAGTCTTGGAAGACTGAGAACTAAAAATGACTTTAGTATAATCCCCTCATTTTACAATGAAGAAACTGAGGTTCTGAGAGAGAATGCATCTTGCCAAAGGTAAGAGGGCAAGCTAGCAGCAAAAACAGAACTCAGAAAGAGGTCACCTTATTCCCAGGCCAATGCTGCTTCCATGCATACACACAGCCACTCAATTATCCTTGTGGGGATTTGTGGATAGCTTGTGAGGCCATTAACCTTCACGGTTTTCAAGTTTTTCATATGGTGGTACAAGGATCAAGTAACCATTTCAGAGAAAACTGTAATTGATGTCACGAAATGCATTGTCTGTCTGTGAACTGTGGTTTTGTTTGGCCATAGCGAGGCCTTACCCCATTATCCTGAATCATCAGAATTGGCTGCTCATGAAAAGTGTCCTATTGTTCTTTATTGGTCACTCCTCTGCTTGTCAAGGACAACTCCCCAGTATGTAAAAGTGTGGAATAGATGGAAGAAGTGGAGAGTCAGCCTCAAGATAGAGATCAGAATCAGGGCGACCTCAAGAGGTATGTAGCTCTAGGAACTGATCTTTGTTATGGTGTTAGGAATGTCCTCCTTGGCCTTGAATGGCCCTGGTATAGTTGACTTGTTCTAGAAGAGAAAATTGGAGGAGAAACTTTGTAAAGGGTGTGGTAGTGGGGGAGAGGAGAGGAGAGGAAAAGAGAGAGATAGAGACAGAGACAGAGAGAGACAGAGAGAAAGAGAGAGAGAGAGGTCGGGGAGGAGAGGAAAGGAGAGAGAGAGACAGAGAAAGGTGGGGGGAGAAGAGAGGAGAGACAGACAGAGAGAGACAGAGAGATTGAGAGCAATAAGGAGCTACAGAATGCATGGATGCACTTAGTCTGGGTACATTCTGCTCCTACTTGAGAATTCTCATGGCTAAACAAAGTAAATGGTGCATAACTTACTCTGAATTGGACACAGTTTGTTTGAGTTTCTATTTTTAAAGGGTCTTCCAAGTTGCCTAAGGCTGAGGCTTTAATTTGCTCCGCCCCATTGCCAGACCAAACTCAGCTTTAATTTTTCATTTAAAATAATCTCAATTGGAAACACTTGAAAACCCCAAATCACTTTGTTTTAAAGTAAATAAATAAATGAATAAATAAGTTACAACAAAGCACAAGGTTAAACATTACTTATGTTACAGTTGCTGTTTCCTGCCTTCATCTAATAAGAACCTCCCAGGCCAGAGAAAGGAAAAAGATCTCTGAAAATGAAGAACAGTTAACACGAGAAGGCCTGGAATTTAAGAATATCTCAAAAGACCAAGCAAGTTTTTGCATCAATTGATGTGCTTGGTTCTTATGCCCCTGGTCTTTGCTAACTAAAACTTTCCAGCATCTTTTTTCTAAACCACCATTGTACATCAGAATGATGAATGTGTGAAGAAGCATTCCTTAAATGCTATGTGACAAGCATCACAGCACATGGGATGCCTCCTTTTAAAAGTCCAGCCCATTGGATCTCTTCATGAACCTCTTGATAGGCATTCATTCTCATTTGTGTTACATTGATATCCGTGTGTTGTTGTCATCTCTTCTTGCTACTTATAAGCTCCTTGAAATTTGGGACTGTCTTTTTTCATCTTTGTTTTCCCATTGTCTCACACAATGCACTGCACACAGTAGGACCTTAATAAATGCATGCTAAATGAAAGAATAACTCTACTTATCACAGTGCTTTAAGATTTATTTTGATATCATGTAGGCTCAGCCTTAGAAATACTACTAGATTATAAGCCATCTCACTAATCCTCATAACAATCCTGAACAGCAAATGGTATAGACATCATCATCCCCATTTTACAGATGAGGAACCTGAAGAACAAAGAGATTTCAGTGATTTTCCCAGGGTCACACAGCTAGATGAGTGTCTGAGACAGGACTCAAACAAAGTCCTTCCTGATTCCAAGACTGGCTCTCTGTCTACTACTGCACCATGCTGCCTTTTATGAATGAATGATTGAATGAAGCCACTCGGTATGCGTTAACTCTGACAGACAGGGAAAATATGACCAGCTTCCTAGGGTTTGAGAGAGCTAGTGTCATTCACCTTGCTTCCAGCACTGCAGTCATTCATTCATTCATTCAATAAACATTTAGTAAATGCCTGCTATGGACACGGTCCTCTTTTAGGCTCTGAGTGGGGTGGGGAGAGGGATGCAGAGATTAATAAAGAATGATCCCTGAATTCCAAGAAGTCACAGTTTAGAAGTGAGCTTATAATCTAGTAGTATTTCTAAGGCTGAGCCTTCATGATATCAAAATACCTTGCTAATACATTTGGTTCAAAACCAATTGTATGGTAGAGCAATCAAAAATTTTTGTTGAACTAAACTTTTCCCTTCTTTTTCTTCATTTTTTTGGTGAGGCAATTGGGGTTAAGTGACTTGCCTAGGGTCACACAGCTGGTATCAAGTGTCTGAGTCTGGATTTGAACTCAGGTCCTCCTGACTCCAGGGCCAGTGCTCTATCCATTGCACCACCTTGCTGCCCCAAACTTTTCCCTTCTTAATTGCTTGTTTTGGTGTCACAGAAAGAGCTTGTGCACCCATGTAGGACTACCACAAAATCACTGCCCCTTTGCCATAAGTGCCATACATAAACATGAACATCATAAAAACGTTTTTATTCTTCTCACACATCTGGGGATAGAAATATGCTGGGGGCAGGAAGAGACATGTGAAGCAAACAGAGAAAAGTAGAATTGTTTGTAAATTTTTGGCAGAGAAATAGTGAAGACTTTGACAAATATATCAAAGGATAATTAAATAAATTAGTTCAAGAAATACATAACAAAAAAAGAAAATAAATTGGGCAGAAACCACATACAACCAGCATGCTCTATTGGTGTCCTTGTAAAGTCCAGCAAAATCGAAGGAGGTCTCCAGCATGTTGGATATAATTCCCTGCGGAATAGCAGAAGGACATGATCAAGAATTGTTTAGAATGAGCTGTGCAGCTGGATAGGTTGTGGTTTGCCCCACTGGATGGAATGTCAACAAGGGGTCTTGAGAACCAAAGAACCATCGATTTAGAGTAGAATAGCATTATAGAGTTGATCCAATCTAATCCCCTTTACAGAGAAGGAAACTGAGGTTCAAAGGGGAAACATGACTTGTTTATCATCACACAAACAGTAATTAAGAGATCCAGGATTCAGACTTAAGCCTTCTGACTCCCAAGCTGGGTCACTGCCCTCTATATCAAACTTCCAATTCTACCAGAGCATAAAAGTGTTTTCCTTCCCCCAGCTTACCCCATGAAATCGTGCATATTTTATTTCTAGTGATGTGAAGGTACATAAATCATGGGATCCTTTTGCTACAAGTTTCTGAAATCCTGTGCATAGTGATGGGAATGATGAGTTAATTTGTGAGTTAGGTAGCCTCCTCTTCTTGGATAAGTAGCTGAGAAACTTTCCGTTTGAAGCAAAAACAAGGTGAAACATTAATTCCCCCTAATGTAGGATATGATTAGAGGAGTGTTTAAACACTTTCTTTCGTGCAAGAGCAGTTTGGGACGCTTAGGCCGGGGGTCTGTCACGAAGAGCTGGTGTTACCATTAGCATTTCTATAGAACAGGTAGATTTGTCCTCTCTGTGATGAAAAGCATTTGGCACAATTGTGTCTCTTCCTCAGAGTAATGGATGGCCATGTGGGAGCTTCTACTCAAGGTTTTCAGAGTTAGAAACTATTTTTTAAATGATTCACTGTGACTCCTAACTCTTCTAATCTAGATTCTGAAATTCATCTCTCTGATCAGGAATGTCTTGTTTTTCCATCTCTCCTTCTGCCTCACTCCCCTTTAAAACTATTATTTGTCCTTATAAGAGTTAAGTTCTTTGGGACCTGAGTTGATCCCTGTCTCTGAGCCCCATCTCCATTTCCTAAAGCTGTTCAATGGCCATCAGCTTGTGGCAAATCAATTCCGTGTTTTTCTTCTTTTTTTGTATTTATTTATTTTTAGTTTTCAACATTCACTTCCACAAGATTTTGAATTGCAAATTTTCTCCCCATCTTGTCCCTCCTCCCACCCCAAGATGGCATGCATTCTGAATACCCCTTCCCCTAATCTGCCCTCCCTTCTATCACCACCCCCCTTCTCTTATCCCCTTCCTCTTCTATTTTCCTGTAGGGCAGGATAGATTTCTATACCCCATTTCCTGTATATCTTATTTCCCAATTGCATGTGAAAACAATTTTTTTAACATTTGTTTTTAAAACTTTGGGTTCCAAATTTTCTCCCTTCTTCCCTCCCCACCCACCCTCATTGAGTAGGCAAGCAACTCGATACAGGTTATACATGTGTAGTCATGCAAAACACTTCCACAGTAGTCATGTTGTGAAAAACTAAATATATTTCCCTTAATCCTATCCCGCCCCCCATTTATCCTATTCTCTCTTTTGACCCTGTCCCTCCTTAGAAGTGTTTGCTTCTGTTTACCTCCTCCCCCAATCTGCCCTCCCCTCTATCATCCCCCTGCACTCTTGTCCCCTTCCCCCCCTATTTTCTTATAGGTTAAGATAGATTTCCATACCCAACTGAGCCAAATCCAATGAGAATTAAGATTCACTCATTCCCTCTCACCTTCCCCCACTTCCCCTCCACTGTAAAAGCCTTTTCTTGCCTGTCTTATGTGAGATAATTTACCCCATTCTACCTCTCCCTTTCTCCTTCTCCCAGTATAATCCTCTCTCACCCCTTAATTTTATTCTACAGATATCACCCCTTCATCTTCAACTCACTCTGTGCCTTCTCTCTATCTATCTATCTATATACATACATATAATTTTTTCCTTCCAACTACCCTAATACTGACAAAGGTCTCATGAGTTATAAATATCATTTTTCCATGCAGGAATGTAAACAGTTCAACCTTAATAAGTCCCTTATGATTTCTCTTTCCTGTTTACCGCTTCATGTTTCTCTTGAGTCTTGTATTTTAAAGTCAAATTTTCTATTCAGCTCTGCTCTTTTCATCAGGAATGCTTGAAAGTCCTCTATTTCACTGAATGACCATTTTTTTCCCTGAAGGATTATACTCAGTTTTGTTGGGTAGGTGATTCTTGGTTGTAATCCTATCTCCTTTGACCTCTGGAATATTATATTCCAAGCCCTCAGGTCCCTTAATGTAGAAGCTGCTAAATCTTGTGTTACCCTGATTGTGTTTCTACAATACTTGAATTGTTTCTTTCTGGCTGCTTGAAATATTTTCCCCTTGACCTGGGAACTCTGGAATTTGGCTACAATATTCCTAGGAGTTTTCCTTTGGGGATCTCTTTCAGGAGGTGATCAGTGGATTCTTTCCATTTCTATTTTACCCTCTGGTTCTAAAATATCAGGGCAGTTTTCCTTGATAATTTCTTCTTTTTTTAAGGCAATTGGAATTAAGTGACTTGCCCAGGGTCACACAGCTAATAACTGCCAAGTGTTTGGTCTGAGGCCGGATTTGAACTCAGGTCCTCCTGACTTCAGGGCCAGTGCTCTATCCACTATGCCACCTAGCTGCCCCAATAATTTCTTGAAAGATGATGTCTAGGCCCTTTTTTTGATCATGGCTTTCAGATAATCCAATAATTTTTATATTATCTCTCCTGGATCTACTTTCCAGGTCAGTTGTTTTTCCAATGAGATATTTCACACTATCTTTTATTTTTTCACTCTTTTAGTTTTGTTTTACACTGTCTTGATTTCTCATAAAGTCACTAGCTTCCAATTGCTCCATTCTAATTTTTAAGGAAGTATTTTCTTCAATGAGCTTTTGGACTTCCTTTTCCATTTAGCCAATTTTGCTTTTGGAGGCATTCTTTGACTCATTGGCCTTTTGGACCTCTTTTGCCATTTGGATTAGGCTTTTTTTTTTTTAGGCAATTGGGGTTAAGTGACTTGCCCAGGGTCACACAGCTAGTAAGTGTCAAGTGCTTGGTCTGAGGTCACATTTGAACTCAGGTCCTCCTGACTTTAGGGCTGGTGCTCTATCCACTGTGCCACCTAGCTGCCCCTGGGTTATTTGTTAAGGTGTTATTTTCTTCAGTATTTTATGGGGTCTCCTTTAGCAAGCTGGCGAACAGTTTTTCATGATTTTCTTGCATCACTCTCCTTTCTCTTCCCATTTTTTCCTCTACTTCTCTTACTTGCTTCTCAAAATCCTTTTTGAGCTCTTCCATGGCCTGGGACCAATTCATATTTTTCTTGGAGACTTTGGATGCAGGAGCTTTGGCTTTGTTGTCTTCTTCTGGTTATATGTTTTGATCTTCTTTGTCACCAAAGAAAGATTCTATAGTCTGACTTTTTTTGCAAGGTTTGCTCATGATCCCAACCAATTACTTGAGTTATAAACTCTTTGTTAAGGTAGGGGTCTGCTTTCAGCGTGGAGAATGTACTGTCCCAAGCTCTGGGGGTTTTGTGCAGCTGTTTTCAAAGATACTTCTATGGACCTGTAAATTTTCAGTTCTTCCAAGGTAGTATGATAAGGGGCGAGGTGTTTACTCCTTTCCTGGCCTGTGCTGTGGTCTATGAGTGACTACAAGCACTCTTTTTTTCCTTGGAACTGTGAAGAGGATTTACTCTTCACCACCACTACAAGCTTCATTATGCCAGTACTCCTCCTTGCCCCAGGACCACCACCCAGAACTATGACCCAGATCCAAGCATGGGCAAAGCAAGAGAATCCTGCACCAGCAAAAAGATCCCTGAAATCCTCCTCTGATCAGCCACCCAATTCTCCTTCAGTCTGGTCTGGAAGCTCCAGAAGCAGCCATCGCCCCGGGGCTGTGCTTGGGGACTGGGGCTGGAACTGAGCTTCTTTTTTTATTTAATTTTTAATTTTTTAATTTTGTTTTTGTTTTTGGCTAGGCAATTGGGATTAAGTGACTTTTCCAGGGTCACACAGATAGTGTCAAGTGTCAGGTCTGAGACTGGATTTGAACTCAGGTCCTCCTGACTCCAGAGCCAGTGCTCTATCCACTAAGCCACTTAGCTGCCCCTGGGACCGAGCTTCTCTCTCACCGAAGTCACAGACTTTTCCTACTGACCTTCTAAGTTGTCTTTGGCATTAGTGGGTTGAGAAATCAGGAAACCACCACAGCTGCCTGTGATTCAGTCCCCTGAGGGGCCTGCTCCAGGTTCGATGAGGTCTATTTTGCCTGCGTGCCCATGCCGAACTGCGTTCCTCTCCCTGCCTGACGTGATATACCTTTCTGATCAAACATCTAGTTTGTCTTGGTCTGGAAATTTGTTTTACTCTGTCTTTCTGTGGGTTCCGCTGCTTTAGAATTTATTTAGAGCCATTTTTTACAGGTATTTGGAAGGGCTTAGGGGAGAACTCAAGCAAGTCACTGCTTTTACTCCACCATATTGGCTCCGCCTCCTTCTTCTTTTTAATATATCTAAAATCTACCCATCTTTTCCACAATTACAGCAAAATACAACTTGGCCTCTTTGGCTGAATATTGGTAATGTTCCTGTAGTGAGTTGTCCTGACCTTTTACCCCAAGCCCTTCTCTTCCAGCAGGAGAGGATCTTTCATACTCTTCTCTTTCCCCAAAATCATTTATTATCATCTGATTCTTCTAAATTGGTGTCTCCTTTGGTCTCAGTGGTTCATATCTGAGAAGAATGTGTGTAACTGGAAAGAATGTGTTTTTCTGTCTCTGACTTCAGTGCTCATCATAGCACCTGGGGGCACCTCCAATTTGTAGGACTTGTCCTCCAGGGAACAGCTATTCCAGGTTCAAGGTACTTAGTGTTTCTGCACTCCTATAAAGCTCATGAGCCCCCACTGATATATTTACCATTCATAGTTAGACAAAGGACACAGTCGGTTAAAAGCAAAGGCATTGAATGAAATGGCATAGTAAAAAAAAATAGCAAACAAATCTTCCTTCATAAACCTAGTTGTGTGCTCTCCACAAGAGTAAGAGGCAGCTAGGTGACAGTGAACAGACTGAAGCAGAAATAGATTGGAGTCAGAAAGACCTGAGTTCAAATCCACTTATTAGCTGTGTGACTCCAGGCAAGTCACTTAACTTCCATCTGTCTCATTTTTCCTTCTTCATAAAATGGAGATAATAATAACATTTATGTCTAGGGCTGCTTTAAGAAAAAATGAGGTAATATTAGTAAAGTGTTTTGCAAACCTTGAAGTACTATATACATGTTAGCAATTACATGTGTGTGTGCATTGTATATAATTACCATTATTAACTTTATTGTTACAATAACTACACGTCTATGGAAAAAGTGGATACATATAGAGAACACAAGTGGAGAGGCACAAATATAAGGAATATGTATGGCCACGGCAAACGCATGGAGGAATACACAAGAAGGAAATGTGTTATCTTCTATCAACGTATTGTGCTGCCATTATTTACACAGGGCTCATAGTTCTTGCTCAAAGGGCCTGCTCCCCTCTGGTTTCTTAGTCTCTGCAGATGCCCCTTTGCCAGACACTGGCAGATACAGCTCCGCTGACACCTGAAGGTCCCTACTCAACGGGGTACTTTTGAGTGTTACTAGATGCCACTGGGTGGTGCAGGACTAGTTCCTGTGAATGTTGCTTGAATGGAGTCTCCATTAATTCCAGCTTCTGGCTCAGTTGAAGTACTTGGTTAGAAAGCTGTTGTACTTTTTTAGCCAAGTCTTTTAGGAAAAGCAGAAATTATTGCCCAAAGACCAGCAGAAACCTCTTCTGTTCTGTTTCCTAAGAGCTTGGGGGTTCTGTGACCTCATATATATGCCCCAGTTGTCTAGCTCTCTAAGAGAAAAACATAAGGCCAATGACCTTGGTCTAGGTCTTTTCTTTTTATTCCCCAATTTCTCTTGCCAGTACATGCCCCTTAGCTCCTTAGATCTAAAGCCTTACTCTGGCTTATGGTGACTCTCCAATATCCTCCGAGCCTCTGAAGGCTGGGCTATAAATCAGGTAATAGTTGTTTATCTAATAAGTCCTAAACATCTCTGAGGACTCAGCATTCTCCAGTTTTTAAAAACCCTAAGTCTTTCAGGTTTGCCCATGTAGACAGATGAGCATGTAGAGAAAAGGTATAAAGGCAAGTTGAACCCAGGGAGTAAGGTCATTCATTGCCTCTGATACCTGCTCAGCCACATTTTTGGTCCCTTTATCTGTAGCTGCCCCGATCAAATCTAAAAGGGGCTTTTACCCACATCCTTGACACCATCTTTGCCTCTGTCTTCTTTACCAGGTATATTTACTCCAAGTAACCAAAATGCTATCCTTTTTCTTCCTTCACTTATTGGTGTACCCAAAGGTTTCATCAAATGCCAATCCCCCAGATACTTGGATCAATCCAATGTTAGTCCATCTGCTCCATATTCTCTTTTGACCTTTCCTCTCTGAAATAACTTTTACAAATAGTCTGAAGTCAGAGCCCTTCCCTCCACAATGGTGGCAAGCACAGAAGAATGGCACAAAGATTTCTTGTGCACTTTCTGCACAAGTTGTCTACCTAACCTCTGTCAGCATAAAGACAGAATGGCCTTGGAATGCTGCCCTTTTTGGGTTTTTTTTTCAATTTTTATTTAAAGTTTTGAGTTATATCCTTCCCTTCCCCCTCCCTGAGACACTAAGCAATCATATATAGGTTATACATATGCAATTATGTAAAACATCTCCATATCAGTCATTTTTACAAGAAGACTCGAAGAAAAAAGTGAAAGAAAGTGAAAAATAGCACACTTCAGTCTGTACTCAAACAATATCAGTTCTTTCTCTGTAGGTGGATTGTTTGTTTCATCATTAGTCCTTTGGGATTGCCTTGGATCACTGTATTGCTGAGAATAGCTAAGTCATTCACAATTCTTCATCAGACAATGTTGATGTTACTGTGTACAATATTCTCCTGGTTCTGTTCACTTCACTGTGCATCAGTTCATATAAGTCTTTCCAGGTTTTTCTGAAATCATCTTGCTTGTTATTTCTTATAGCACAATAGTATTCCACTACATTCATATACCACAACTTGTTCAGCCATTCCCCAATTGATGGGCCCTCAATTTCCAATTCCTAGTTATCACAAAAAGAGCTGCTATAAATATTTTTATACAAATAGTCCTTTTGCCTTTTTAAGGAACCTGTGAGGCAAAACACATATCCCCAGAGGCTCTCCATTTGTCTCCTGCATTTTCCCACACTATTCTCTTGCCTCACTTCCATTACTTCAGTGGTATGTCCTGGCCAAGGCTGAAAGGTTTTGTCATCTTGTGGACCATAGCAGTCTACATTCAGTCCATTCTATTAGGACTGGCTCTTTGACTAATCATGGTTTTAAAATTACTGGTTATTGAGGAACATATCACTAGCCAATTGCTTGACCCACTAAATCAAGGATGATAAAATCATAGGTTTAAAGCTAGAAGGGATTTTAGGGGTCATTGAGTCCAACCAACTAATTTTATAGATAGTGAATTTAGAGGCTCAAAGACATTAAATGACTTATTCAAAATCACAGAGCTAATGAATATTTAAAGTTGGCTTCAAAACCCAAATTTTCTTGACTCCAAGTGCAGGACCCCATGCAGTATATTTATAAAGCTAATGCATCATGGGGCAGCTAGGTGGTGCAGTGAATAGAACTCTGGCCTTGGGGCCAGGAGGCCCTGAGTTCAAATCTAGCCTCAGACACGTAACACTTACTAGCTATGTAACCCTGGGAAAGTCACTTAACCCTGATTGCCCACCAAAAAAAAAAAAAAAGCTAATGCATCATGAGATTCCAAAGCTGCTGCTGCTCCTGCAGCATGGGCTGCCATAGACAATGATGTCCCCCCAGGTAGGTCTCCCATCTCATCTTCAGTCATCTTTTCTCTCACTAGGAATGCACTAAATTTTTTCATTATCTCCTAATTAGCAGAAGGAGGTTTAATAACTAGCTTCCAAACAGCCCTATTAACTTCTTTGAATATGCCACTGTTTCACTTTCCACAATGTGGCTATCAATTCACCTTCATCCCTGGGTAGAGAGTACCTGACATTTTCCCAAAATGTCCATACCTCCGTGTAATGTTTTTCTAACATCTTAACTATAACACCAACTAGGCACCCCACTAAACCAACAGTCCTCAAGGAGGGTCAAAGTTTTGCCACAGGGCACCAATTCTCCAAGAACAATACTCGGGGTAACTAAAAATAGTTATACACTGACAGTTTCCCAAGGTCACTTCAGCAATAAACAATTTCTCTGACAATTAATTCATTTTAGGTTATGGTTATTTCAAATTTCATCTGGTCTAGGGATTTCAATGGAAAATTTTTGATATCAGTCTTCAGTGGGTATTAGTTAATAGATTTAGTTTGACCCCAATATTCAAAATTACCTTACAAAAGATAAAAAGCACTATTCTGGATGAAGCCTCCTTAACTGTAGCACCCCAAACACATCTACTTTTGGCTACTCCTACAGTGCCAGGTCCGTGGCACTCAAGAGGTAATCCTTATATTTCAGTCTATAATTAATAATCATAGTTCTATCCCTGGTTCCCCTGGTCCTGATAAAATTTTGCTTTATCTTAGTGTCCAATCCTCCAGGCCCCTTCCTAGTTGTCTCCTTACCATGCCCCATCAGAGGTTGTCCCTCTGCTTTTCTCTACTCCTCAACAGTTGTCTTCTCCCTTTGGAAAGCAAATAAAGGCAGCGATTGCCTTGTTTGTTTTTGCTTGGATCCCCAGCACTTAGCACAGGGCCTGGAACATAATAAGTGCTTAAGGTTTTATTTCTCCAGCATGAGTTCCCTCTTCTACTAGATTTCCTCGTATAGAGCCAGAATAAATCACATGATGTCATTGTAAAGGAAAGGACATTTACTTTGAGTAAAATGCAAGGTGTGTGAGAAGGAGTTAAATCAAATAGTTAGTACTCTCTTGCCTTATTGTGCAAACCTACTCCCTCCCAATACACATCTCCTGAGGACAGCTTATCTAAATTCTTCCTCCACAACACAGTGGGGCAACATCTATCACACCACTCATGGCAGGGGGGTAAGTTAGTGTCCACAGCAGCAGCTTCTCAGCAGAGCACTGAAAGCTGAAGTCATCCACAGCAATGCTGAAACAGGAACTTGAGAGAACTTTAGAGTGGTGGTGCACAGCAAATGAGTGAACAGTATTGTTTCCCCATCAACTTCTTTTGGCTTCACTCTGCTATCCAGGTATGATTCTCCATCTCATCCCACTAGAAGATATCCATCTTCCTTAAAAATTGGGTGCACTGAAATCTGCTGAGCTTCACAAAGGCTTTTGAAGTGTAGTACCCCAAATGACCATTCACACCCCTGAAATTATTTAATCTCAATTGAAAACTCACAGTATCATAAGGGTGGAAACAAAGTGGCAGAATAAAGACACAGACTCACTGGAGCTTTCCCCAATTCCCCCCAAAACAGCTTTAAAATAATGCCTCAAAATGAATTCTAGAGTGGCAGAACTAACCAACGGATGGAGTGAAACAATTTTCCAGTCCAAGACAACTCAGAAGATTGGCAGGAAAAATCTGTCTTACTCACAGTGGAGTGCAGTCCAGCAAAGGTTATGGCTGGCAAGTGGTCAGAAGGCCTTAGGGGTAACTGAATTGGCAGTGAGGCTTCCAGAGCTGTCCAGACACAGATAGTAAAGGGGTTAGACAACTGGTCAGAAGGATATTAAAAGGGACTTTTTGCTGGTCCTGGGTGTAGAACCTTGTTGCATTGCTTGTATGTGGTTCCTGATCACAGTACCAAGGCTAGAAGAAGTACTAACACACTACAACCTGTAGTTGAAGTGAAGCAGGGACCGTGGTCACAGTTGCAGGGCAGAAAAGAATGCTTGTGGTCACTCACAGACCAGCACCTAGGCTAGGAGAACAGTGATCACACATCTCCTTGCACCATACCACCTTGGAAGAACTAAAAACTTAAAAGATTCCCAGAATTAGCTCTGAAAATAGCTGTGCAAAAAACCTAAAGCTTGGGACAGTACCTCCTCCACTCTGGGAGTAGAGCTTAACTTTAACATAAAGTTAAAAGTTAAGAAATTGGCTGGGAAAATAAGCAAACAACAAAAGAACATGGTGAAAAGGGAGGTCAAAAACACCAGCTTAGAAGAAGACAATGAAGGCAAAACAGTTACACCCAAAGCCTCAACAATAAATGTGCATTGGTCTCAGGCACACAAAAAAAGAATTCCTAGAAGAACTCTAAAAGAATTTTAAAAATCAAATACAAGACGTAGAGGGAAAAATTGAAAAAGAAATGAGAGTGCTGTGAGAAAATCATGAAAAATGAGTCAACAGCTTGGTAAAGAAGGCATAAAAAATATTGAAGAAAATAACACCCTAAAAAAATAGAAGAGACCAAATTTAAAAAGGCACAAAAATTCACTGAAGAAAGGAACTCTTTAAAAAGTAGAATTGACCAAATGGAAAAAGAGGTTTTTTTTAAAAAAAAGCTCACTGAAGAAAACAATTCCTTATAAATTAGAATTAGGCAAGTGGAAGCTAATGACTCCATGAGACATCAAGAAACAATAAATCAAAGTCAAAAGATGAAAAAGTAGACAAAATGTGAAATATCTCATTGGAAAAACAATGACATGGAAAATAGATCAAGGAGAAATAAATTAAGAATTATTGGACTACCTGAAATCCATGATCGAAAAAGAGCCTAGACATCATATTTCAAGAAATTATCATGGAAGACTACCCTGAAATCTTAGATTCAGAGGGCAGAACAGAAATTGAAAGAATCCACCAATTACTTCCTGAAAGAGAACCCAAAATGAAAACTCCCAGGAATATTATAGCCAAATTGCAGAGCTTCCAGGTCAAGGAGAAAATATTGCAAGCAGCCAGAAAGAACCAGTTCAAACGTCATGGAGCCACAGGATAACACAAGATTTAACAGCTTCTGCATTAAAGAATCAGAGAGCTTTAAATATGATATTCCAGAAGGCAAAGGAGCTAAGATTACAACCAAGAATAACCTACCTAGAAAAACTGATTATAATCCTTCAGGGGAAAAATGGATATTTGATGAAATTGAAGACTTCCAAGCATTCCTGAAAAAAAAGACCAGAGCTGAATAGATGATGTGACATTCAAAAAGAAGACTCAAGAGAAGCATAAAAAGGTAAATGTGAAAGAAAAATCATAAAGGACTTGATATGGTGAAACTGTTTATATTCTTATATAGGAAGATGAAATTTGTAACTCCTAAGAGCTTTATCATTATTAGGGCAATTAGAAGGAGTCTACATAGACAGAAGGCATGGGTGTGAGTCAATTCTGTTGGGATGATCTCATAAAAATATAGGGGGTGAGAAAGAGGGATGCACTGGGAGAAGAGGGAAGGGAGAGGTAGAATGGGCCAATTATCTCACATAAAAGAGGTACAAGTCTGGTTCAATATTAGGAAAACTATCAGCATAATTGACCATATCAATAACAAAACCAGAGGTGGGGAACCTGCAGCCTCGAGGCCAGACCTCTTCTAGGTCTTTGGCAGTGGCCTTTTGACTGAATCCAAGTTTTACAAAACAAATCCTTTTAATAAGGGAATTTGTTCTGCGAAGTTTGGATTTAGTCAAAGGGCCACACTTGAGGACCTGCAGGTGAGGACCTGGAGGGCCACATGTGGCTTAGAGGTCACAGGTTCCCCACCCCTGAAATCCTATGAGTATCTCAATAGATGCAGAAAAGGCTTTTGATAAAATACAACACCTACTTCTATTAAAAACACTAGGCAGGATAGGAATAAATGGAGCTTTCCTTAAAATGATAAGCAGTATTTATCTAAAACCATAAGTAAGTATTATCTGTAATGGGGATAAGCTAGATAAAATCAGGGGTGAAGGAAGGATGCCAATTATCACTACTGTTATTCAATATTGTTCTAGAAATGCTAGCTATACCAATAAGACAAGAAAAAGAAATTGAAGTAATTAGAAAAGGCAATAAGGAAACAAAACTATCGCTCTTAGCTGATGATATGATGGCATCTTTGGAGAATTCTAGCAAATCAACTGAAGAACTAGAGGAAATAAGTATCAACTTTAACAAATTTGCAGAAAATAAAGTAATCCCACTTAAATCATCAGCATTTCTATGTCTTACCCAAAAAAGTCCAGTAGCAAGAGATAGAAAGAGAAATTCCATTTAAAAAACAGTAGGCAACATAAAATCCTTGGGAGTCTACCTGCCAAGACAAACCAAAGAACTGTATGAACACAACTATAAAATATTTTTCACACAAATAAAGTCAGATCTAAACCATTAGAAAACTATTAATTGCTCATGGGTAGGCAGAGCCAAGATAATGAAGACAATTCTACCCAAATTAATTTATTTACTCAGTGTAATACCAATCAAACTGCCAAAAATATTTCATATAATAACAGAATTCATCTGGAAGAACAAAAGGTCAAGAATATAAAGGGAATCAATGAAAAAAAAATGTGAAGGAAGGTGGCTTAGCCGTATTAAGGTCTCAAACGATTTTATAAAGTGGTAATCATCAAAATAATCTGGTACTGGCTACGAAATAGAGTGGTAGATCAGTGGAACAAATTAAGTACATCATGTAACATAATAAATGAGCATAGTAATCTAATGTTTGCTTGATAAATCCAAAGATCTAAGCTTTTGGGAAAAGAACTTATTATTTGACAAAAACTGCTAGGCAAACTAGAAAGCAGTTTGGCAGAAACAGTATAGCCATCTCACATTATATACATTATATACTAAGACAAGGTCAAAATGAGTACATGATTTAGCTATACAAGGTGATATGATAAGCAAATTTGGGGAATATGGAATAATTTATTTGTCAGATCTATGAATAAGGGAAGAATTTATGGCCAAAGAAGAGCTAGAGAGCATTATGACAGGTAAAATGAATAATTTTGATTACATTAAATTAAAAGGTTTTTGCACAAACAAAACCAATGCAGCCAAGATTAGAAGGAAAGTGGAAAACTGGGGAAAATTTTTTTACAACATAATAAATAAAGGCCTCATTCTCAAATATATAGAGAACTGAGTCAAATTGATAATAATACAAGCCATTCCACAATTGACAAATGGTCAAAGGATATGAATAGGCAGCTTTCAGATGAGACAATCAAAACTATCTGTAGTCTTATGAAAAAATTCTCTAACTCAGTATTGATTAGGGAAATGCAAATTAAAACAACTCTGAGGTACCACCTCACACCTATCAGATGGGCTAGTGTGACCAAAAAGGAAAATGACAAATGCTGGGCTTTGGGAAAATTGGGACACTCGCTAAATTGGTTGCAAAAAAAAAAATTGGTGGAGTTGCGAACTGATCTAACCATTCTGGAGACCAATTTGAAACTATTTCCAAAGGGCTATAAAACTGTGCATAACCTTTGACCTAGGAATGCCACTACCATATCTGTATCCCAAAAAGATACAAAAAAAAAAAGCAAAAAGGACCTTTATGTACAAAAATATTTATAACAGTTCTTTTTTGTGGTGGCAAAGAATTGGAAATTGAGGGAATGCCCATCTATTGGGGAATGGCTGAACAAGTTGTGATATATGATTGTGATGGAATACTATCGTGCTATAAGAAATGACAAGCAGGATGTTTTCAGAAAAACCTGGAAAGACTTACATGAACTGATACATCGTGAAGTGAACGGACTTGTTTTTGTTGGTCCTTCATTCTCAAAAAGGACTGATGATATAAAGAGGGGGAATGTCTTGACTTGAGTCTGAATTGGATATGAGTTGTCAGCAAAGCTGTCAGCCTCACTCTCCTCCAGAGTCATCAAAGTCATCAAAATCCAACGGCAAGATGACTAGTGATGGCCCAAAGTAATATTGTACAATCAACTGTGAATGACTTAGCTATTCTGATCAATACAAGGATCCAAGACAATTTGGAAGGACTTGTAATAAAAAATGCTGTCTACCTCCAGGGAAAGAATTCATGGAGACTCAGTGCAGATTGAAGCATATTTTTTTGCTTTTTTTAAACTTTTCTTGGGTTTTGTTGGGTTTTTCTTTCACCAATGTGGAGGTGTGTTTTGCATGACTGCATACATATAGCCTATACCTAGTTACTTGCCTTCTCAGGAGAGGGAGAAGTGGGGAGTGAGGGAGAATTTGGAACTCAGGCTTTTGCAAAATGAATGTTGAAGATTGTTTTTGCATGTAATTGGAAAAATATTTTTTAAAGAAAGAAAACTCACAGCATCCTTTAATTCTTTGTTGACTGATTCTATTGCACTCCTTACAAGTACTGGTTCCAAATCTTCTCTCTTCAGGTTTCCCACATAAGCCCTGCCCCTCTCCCTCTTAGCAAGTGATGTTGCCTCCTACTTTACTGAGAAAATAGAGATCCTCCATCAGGAGCACCTTCTATTCTCCTATTTCTAAATTGCAAAATCATTTCATGACATCTCCTATTCTATCCTCCTTTGCTCCAGTTTTTGGTAAAGTGGCTCTTCTTGCTAGGACCAACCTCCTCTACTTGTGCCTTTGGTTCCATTCCTTCATATCTCCTCTAGTTCCTACAGTTTCAATTTTCATCCCAATGCAGATAACTCCCAAATATCCATATCTAGCCTCCATCTCTCTCTCCTGTGTTTGAGTTCCACATTACCAGCAGCCTGCTAGATATCTCCACCTGAATCTCAAACTCAAAGAACTCATCATCTTTGCAATTTTGGATGAGCACATCCTTAGCCTTTCAGTCACCAAGATTCCCAAGATTGGACTCATTCTTGACTCTTTGCTTTCCCTGACTCCCCAAGTATAATCAGCAGTGAAGTCTTGTCAATCCTGCCTCTTCAATATTCCTTGCATATATCCCTTTTCTTTATTCACATGGTTACTACACTAATTCAGATTTTCATCATCTATAGCCTGGACTACTTATTGCAATAGCCTCTTAAATGGTCTTCCTGCTTCCGGTCTCTCACCTCTCCACTCTGTACTCCACACAGATGGCAAAATTGTCTTCCTAAAGTCACATGTGACTGTGATACTGCCCTGCTCAAGATGCTCCTATAACTCCCTATTGCCCCTAGGATAAAATACTAACTACTCAGTCTGGCATTTAAAGCACTTCCTGGTCAGGCTCCAGTCAGCCTTCCCAGACTTTCACATTACTCCACTTTTCATGTATTCTACATTGCAGCAAAAATGGCTTACATAGAGGTCCATCTTCTGACTCCATGGGACTTGGAACAGGCTGGATCTCATATACCTAGAATGTGCTCCACCCTTGGTACCTTCTCTCAGAATCTTTAGTTTCTCCAAAGCTCAGCTTTTCTGTCACCTCCTACAGGAAGTTTTTCCTCATTTCCCTAGGTTTTTAGGGTTTTCTCCCTCTCCAAATTATCTTATATTTAATTATGGGAAAGGGAAAGGGAACAAGCATTTAATAAGTGCCAGGCACTGTGCTAAGCACTTTACAAATATTATGATTCTTACAATAATCCTGGGAGGTGGGTGCTATTATTATCCTGATTTGACAGTTAAGGAAACTCAGATAGACAGAGGTTAAGTGCCTTGCTGGAGGTCACATAGCCAGTAAGTATCTGAGGCTGGATTTGAACTAATATCTTAAGTACTCTATCCCCTTGTATAATTGATCTCCTTAAGGACAGCATTGTTTTTGTTTTGTTTTGTTTTTTTCATTTTGTCCTCCTATCTCCAGCACCTAGCACATAGTGCCTTACTGCCAGGGGTGAGCTGGGGCCAGCTGTTCCAGGACAGCAGATGGTTAAATTTTCAGAGTGAACATTTGCACCTTAGAAATTTGCAAATGCTACAAATCAGAGCTTGTTTTATCTAGACATAAGAAAATACTGGAGAAAATTTTAATAATGCATATTAAACTTAAAAATGTGTCATGCTGTGCATTTTTCCCTCAAAGAGCTGGGGATTAACCATTTACCAGCAAACTCATACAATCCTGAGGGCTTAATATTTGTTGAATTGAATTAAATTAAACATCTCAAGCCAACCTCATGATCTTGTCCCTTAAACCCAG